CCCTCAGCACCCCTAGCCACCGTCCCGGGCCCCAAGCTGTGCAGGGTAAAGTAAAGCATTTGTCTCGGGAGCCTGCGGACCTAAATTCAATGCTCGGAGCCCGTGCAAAGGCCGAAGGAGAGAACCGAACACGAGTCGTCTCTGACCGCGCACGGCCACTCCCGCCTGGCGTGTGTGGCACCCCCTCACAATGGTGTCTCTTACATTCTGAGACGTATTAATTAGTGACACATTTAGCGTTTGGGGAGCGGCTGAAACGCCTGCCAGGCCCTGTGTGTAAATGGCCTGTTGGAGCTAGCCCTGGCCTCCGCCACGGCTGCTGGTACCCCGCCGTGGCTTGCTGAAGAGAAGCAAGCCTGCCATCTACGGGAGGCTTTCCGAGGGCTGCATGCGTTCCTCTGAGTCTTAAAGAGAAAGAGAACACGTTAGGTGCTTTGCTTGCTCACATGTCTATGCAGAACACATTTACATACCTGTCTCCTGGAGCTGAGGTTACAGACGTGGGTGCCAGGACCTGAACCCAGGTCCTCAGCACGAGAAACCAGTGCTCTTAAGTGCTGAGCCACCTCCTTAGCCCTCATCTGACTCTTTTTTTTTTCCCTTCCTTTTTTTTTTTTTTTTTTTGAAACAGGGTTTCTCTGTGTAGCCTTGGCTGTCCTGGACTCACTCTGTAGACCCAGGCTGGCCTCGAACTCACAGAGATCTGCCTGCTTCTGCCTCCCAGAGTGCTGGGATTACTGGCGTGCCACACTGCGCCCAGCTCCTCATCTGATTCCTAAAGGAGTGTTTGTCCTCAAGTAGAGGGAGGTCTGGGTCCCACCACCTCTTTGTCCTGGGCAAGTGTGTCCTCACTCTCCTTGGCTGTCTGGAAGCATCTATAATGATGAGCTATTTGGGACGTGGGGGCTGTGGTACGATAGGAGGGGGAGGCCCCATTTCTGGAGCTGGGGGAGCATGGCTGAATGCTGAATCCTGGCCCTGACCTGCGCTGCTTGAGCCCTTCTCTGAGACCGCTGGCTTGCGGCAAAGGATTCCGTAAGACTGGTGAGTTTTCCTCTTGTCACTCTGCTTGTACAACCAGGGGATGGTTCCGACTAAGAACCTCCAGGCTGCTGTCAGGCCCCCTCCCTCAGGTAACACTGTCTTTGAATCCTTCCTGGCGAACCCTGGTGCACCTCCATGAGGCCCCAGGAAGACGCGCAGACCTGGAAGCCCACTCACTTCCTAAGATCATCCAGCTTTAGGATGACAGCTCAAAATGCTCCCCTGTGGGAGCAGTTTGGGCTCCTGGTTGATCTGCAGACCTGCATATGCTTTCAGGGGAAGGCTGTGGTGCCAACGGGCAAGAACCCCGATGTACAAGGCCACCGGGAACACCCAGGGACCTGGGCTTTGTGTTCACTAAGGCGGACCTCACTGAGATCAGGGACTTGTTGCTGACCAATAAGGTGCTGGCTGCTGCCTGGCCACCCCATGCTAGGTCACTGTGCCACCAGAATACTGGTTTGGGGCCTGAGAAGGCTTCTCTCCTCTAGGCTTTAGGCATCACCACTCAAATCTCCAAAGTACCAGTGAAATCCAGAGAGAGAGTTGGCAAAGACCAGAGGCGAACCAAGTGGGAGCCGTTGAACGGCACTGCTGAGCTCCCGGTCCTCTGGGCCGACTATCCAGCAGGTGACTGAGGGCATCTGCCGCCCCACGACCCTGGACGTCGCAGAGCAGGCTCTGCACTCACTTCCCGGAGGCTGTGCACAACGGTGCTTGTGTTTGCAGACTGACTGCCTGACCATTGCCTCAGAACCATTTCTTTTTTATCATCAGTGGGTACACCAACGGCGCCTCCCCACTTGCTGGAAAGGCCCAAGCCTTCTTGGCCAATACATCTGCCTGTGCCGTTGCTCCTGCTCCTGCTCCTGCTGCTGCTGTGTGGTTTAGTCCCCAAAGTGGCCAACGCAGCTTTACGCGAGAAGCACGGAAACAAAGGCTTACTTGACCAAAAAAAAAAAAAAAAGTTTCTATGAGGATTGAGGAAAAGTGATAACTGCTTTCACAGTTCCATGGCTGGAACTGTAGGATGGATGGTCTTTGGCACCACACTTCAGCCCTCAAAGTTTACCTGTCAGCAGAGAGTGGCTGTTCCAGTGGATGGGGGACTTTGACTTGATGGATATTTTTTGGTTCTGTTTGTTTTGTCTGGTTCTGCCTAAGAATCCTGGGACCTTTGAAAGACCCAAGACTGTAGCTCATCCTGACCAGTGATAAGATGCTAAACAAATGAACAAACGAAGGAGGATCAGGTGACGTCTGTGGAGGGCGTGGCACGATGTTGGACCCGCTGTAGAAATGGCAGGTACCGTTGTGATTAGGCCGGCATGTCTGGTAGCCTTCTGCTCACTCGAGCCCTTAAAAGCTGCCCCCATTATTTGGCGAAATCGGAGGTCTGAGCGCCCCTTACAGCCTCCACCACTTAACAGGATATAATCACATGATCAGCACCCGAGGAGTGGGCCCTGACCACGCTGCATTTAGTGGCCAGAATTTCCAGTGCAAGGAGCGCCACTCCTGGCCATGAGTGAAGAGGATTCTGTGGCGTGGCTCATGCAGAGGCCTGCGTAATTAAGCCTCTCTGTGTTCTCCAGGGGGCCAGCCTCCAACCTCCTTTTCTCCAATGTCCTTCCCACTGACCTACTCCCCAGCCCAGCCCCCACAGAGCTGACAGGTTCATTTCCCAGGGCGTCCGTCCTTGCAGCTGTCTGTCCTGGAGATGGGCTTCCGTGTCCAGTCCATTGCACCTCCCCCCGAAGCAGGCGTGGGCCTACCCAGTGGGGGCCTGGTGGCTCTAAGAGCACCTGGAGACCAGAAATTAAGGCTTCTTGCTGCAGGCAAGTTCCGTTGCCCTTGAAACTGATGTGTTCTATAGCAGACATATTCTATCTGCAAAGTGTCCCCTTCAGCTGAGCAAAAACATAGCCCTGTGGGGACCCAACCCTGCCATGGTCGAACAAAGGCTTCTCAGTTCTCTGGGCCCCAGAATCTGCCTACAGTTTCAACACACATGGCCTACTCGGGAGGGGACATGGCCATGTGACTCCCAGGCCCGGAGACAAGGTCACCTTTGTCCGGCCTTTCCCCGGCACGGGAAGAGCCGTTGGCTGTAGGACAAAGGATGCGACTGGAGCCACCCTGGTGATGGATCAGAGGCTTTGGGGTGTGTAACACGCCGGGTCAAGGTCAGGTGGCCCCGGACTCCATTCAAATAGGCCTGGGGGGGGACCTCTTCCTGTTGTCTCAGAATCTAAAGTGGGTTCTTTAGACCTGGCAGGCGCACATTCTGGCCTCATTTGTTTATTTTTCTGCTGCTGTCCGGTTTCTCTGAAATCTACCAGCAAAGCCATCCCATTTGTCCTCGACAACCATTTCCTGCCTTTACAAATCCTCGCCATCAGTTTCTGAGGGCAGCGGTTCTCGGAAGACAGAGAAAAATCTCAGAAGAGATAAACACTCCTCGGATGTGACCTTCCGTGGTCTGGTCACCACCACGGTGGCAGCAGTGTCCCCGCTGGGACAGAATCGAGGAGGGGGACAGACTCCGGGGCAGCCTCTGGGACAGCCGCCGTACTGCACACACGGCCTGTGTGTGCCACCCTCCTCCGCCCTGTGGCACATCTGCAGCTGGAAGTCTCTGCAGGCGTCATTAAACGGTGATGACTATAGCTCGCACAGCTGGCTGTGGGGATAATCCCTTCCAGAACTGACTGGAGTAAAAGATCCCGAGTGGATGAAGGGGTGGTCAGGCGTGATGGGTATTTCTCAGGGGAAGCTGGCATGCGGCCAGTCTTTGGCTGGACTGGCCTGTTCCCCTAGAGAATCTGGGATCAGATCAATGCCCGAGGATCTGGAATTGGAGCTCAAAGAAACGGCGAGCCGTTGGGCGGAACTCGCCTCAGCAGTCACGGCGGCTCGCTAGGGGGTCCAGCCAGTGGGTTCCTTGGCTTCTGGGAAGCCTCGGCTCTATCTCAGCCCCTTTATTTTCATCCTTTCACCTGCCTCAGGGTCTCAACACTGTCCCGGCATCTTTTGGGGGCCACCTCCTGTACTCACCCCAAGGATATTAGGATGTCAGTATGGAAGGGGCTCTTCTGGCCAGACCCACGTGTCAAATGCCCCTGACCACTCTGCTTTGATGACCCACACTGACATCACTGGCCTTGGCCCCCATGGAACTCATGGGGGTTTTATGACACCTGTGACTTACATGTTCCTTATGAGAGAGTGGCTCTTCTCCCTAGATACCAAGGTCACCTAGACCCCTTTGTTCTTAATGCCCAGGTGTATTCTGGAATAAAAGCAACAGCTGCCATCCAACCAACGATATGCGGCCAAGTGACACACACGACCCAGTGTACGACACTCCCCGTTGGACTGTCCAAAGGCAGGCACGGAAGCACCACGGTAGGCCGGCTTTATGAGCAGCCTATGGGCATGGCCAGCCTTTCCTTCCACAGTGCTGGTCTAGGGCGTCCCCAGGCCCCGACACCCCTTGCCTGGTCTTATATACACCCTTGGTCTCCTCTACTCTGATTTTTCTGATGTTCGTCTTCTCTGGAATCTTCAAAGTCCCCCTGCTTGCTTTACTCTTCCTAGCCTCAGGCTGAAGGACGGAGGAATGAGAACCCTGGCCAGCCAACTCCAGGTCTGTGCTCCGACTGCCGACCCGCGCTGCCTCACTGAGATGTCTTTTCCTTGTTGGCACAATAGGGACCAGGGTAGGAGAGTGCTGAAAAGAATCTGGTGGCTCAGTGACTGGGGAGGCTGAGAGGGAAGGAGTGTTCAACCCTGAAAGCCTGAGGTGAACCTGGGCGCAGAGCAGAGGAAGATCTTACCTCAGCAAATCAAAACCCACAGCGGAGAGAATGGGGACAAGGCCTGGAGAGAAGCACCGGTGTCTGGAGGCCAGCCCAGGCTTCCCGCCGCAGGCTCAGTCCCAGTGCTGTGTACGCTCCTGTGGGGCCCGCTCGGGGTGCCCCTGTAAAAATGACAGCCCAGGGCCCACCACTGTTTGTACAACAATGAGAATATTTATTTTCTTCAAACAGTAAAAATAACATTTTTCTCTCTTTTGTAAAAGTTAAGTACCATCACATTCCATTTTCTTAAATAACAAAATCCTAAAAATATATATTAAATTGTATACAGTGTGTCACACTTCATTTTATATTTTAAAATACATGATGTTTCTATTTTATTCTCAAAGTTGTATATTAAGAGCATATTTACAAGTAAAGCCTTGTCCAAAGTCAAATCCCTGCTGGAGGGTGAGTTTGGAATGGGAAGGTCATGGTGCCACGAGGGTGGAGCTCCTTGTACAGGCAAGACAGGATCCCTTCCATACGCGCACCCCTCCACCCCCGGACACTCCCCTCTGCCGTTAGAGCTTCCCCTCCCACTGTCTCCTGCGCCCCACTCAGCCCCGCTGGTGCGCTCAGCTCCCACTTGGTAAGACAGGAGCCTGTGTGACAGACTCCCGGGTCCTCTTGGCAGACCAGGGTGAGGGGTGCTGCTGGCAGGTCTGACAAGCCCCCCACCCTCAGACAGAGCAGCTAGGCTGAGAGTGGCCTGGAGGTAGAACAGTGGGGGCAGTAAACAAAGACACACAGGGAACAAGCCCAGGGCAGCCGACAGTCCCTGGGCAGCACCTAAAGCTCACATAGAACACCAGACAGGAGACTGTGAACTCAGCGGAGCCAGGAGGCCTGTGGAGTGAGGGGCGGGCCTGGAGAGCCGTGCGCCCCTGCAGACAGGCTGGCAGTCCAAGGGCCCTCGGCTTCTAAGTGCTGTTGAAGGTTAAGCGTGCACTGTCCGTGGAGACGGCAAGCCGCGCTGCTGTCAGACCAGCAGCTGACGAGGAGTGTCAGCTGGGGTCCCGCCTGGGCTGACAGTGGGGCATGGGGTGGCACCTGGCCCAGGCACATCCCATGGGCTGGCCCAGAGGCCAGGACAGCTGGACCTGCCAGCGCTTTGATCTTCAGGAGCTTCTGGCTGAGGAGTCTGAAGCCAGAGCCTACATTTGAGAAGTCCAGAGGTCTGGTCACCGGGCTCACTGCAGGCGGCCTCAGGCCCATCCTTGCTGACGGGGGCGGGGGTGGGGGAGACACAGGCCTCTTTTCTACTTTGTCTTTACTGTTTAGGCAGTGAGGTGACTAGGGAAGAGCTCGGGGCACCAACGCCTCTACCTACTGCCTCTCAGAGTCCAGGCAGTCTGTTCTTTTCTCCCAGGCTTACCTCATGCACCTCTCCTCAAGAGGCCTCCCCCAACCCTGGAAGGACACTCAGCACTCTGGGCCGTCTGCCCCTCAGTGTTTACCTGGGGAAGGGCCCTCTGCTGCTGATAGGTTCTAACAGACTGTGGCTGTCATTTCTGCCCTTCCACTGCCCCATGCTGTTTTAAGGTGGGATGGTGTTTCCTGGGCTGCCCCCCACAGAGGAAGTGGATCCTAGAATGCTGGACTATGCCAGGGGAGCAGCAGCAGGGACGTGGGCATGCTGATAAAGGGCTGGGGAGCTGCAGCTGCCCCACACTGGGGCCTAGCTTCCTGTGCCCAAGACGTGAGGAGGCAGGTGAGTGGTGGCAGGAGGAAGCCTGGGGCCCGCATCCTCTCTGCCCTATTCACATGGTGATCTGCGACTCAACACTTGTTTCCGGGGAGATCCTACGGTGCTGTGGACTTCCCGGGGTGGAACTCCATCGCCAGTGGTCCTCAAGTGTGGTGGGCCTGTCTTCCTCCCTAGGAGCCGGCATCCTTTCCCAGATCAGAGCGAGAAGACTACCCCCAGTGGCTCTGTGTCCCCACAGGCCTCCCATGGGAGCTGGGCCAGCCCCCGGCCCACCATAGAGACACAATATACCTCCTCCTCGGCTGCCTCTCTACCCATCAGCTCTGGTCACTGCCTCATCTGTACTCCTGTTGCCTCTCCCTCAGGAGATGCTCCCATACAGTGCTCTGTCCTGGAGCAGCCAGCGGCGGATGGGCCACCTAAACCCTATGAAAGGCCTCCACGGCAGTGGCTTGGAACTCAGGGGAGGTCACGCATCGTGCTCCAGGAGGGCACCCAGGAGAGCAGAGGCTCAAGGGCTGGCAGGACAGCCATACGCCAACTGCAGTCCGCCCAGGGCGCAGGCTGATCTCAGCTGCTGCTAACAAAGGCCACTTCCCAATGGCAGGGCTTCTTAATTGGCCTTCCTCTCACAACAGGCGGCTGCTGCAGCTGGGACTCTCAATCTTCAGCCTGTCCTGGGAGGATCTTCAGTTCCCAAGCCCTGCCTTTTCCTGCCAACTTCTGTAGTCTGCCTCTCTGTCTAAGGAACACAGTCAAGGGGCAAGACAAGAGCCCTAAGCCCTGACTACTGTGTCCCCATGATAAGGGACAAAGACACAACTCTTGGAGTCCTGGTCTTCTAAAATGGTAGACCCCTCCTGTAGGAACCACAGGGTGCTGCCCACAGGCTATGCTACAGTCTTTTTTCTTCCCCACTTTATGATAGTGTAGGATAGGACCTAGGTCTTCATGTGCACAAGGCAAGCTCTCCACCCCTGCACTCCAGCCCCAGCTCTATGCTGCAGTCTTTGAACTCCTGGTTCTGAAGCAGGGGTTGGCTGACAGGCTAGAAGGACAGGCTTAGTTCAGATTCCACAGGCCTGTGAACTGCTTGAGGGCAGTCAGGTAAGCCTAGTATACAAGAAGTTTACTGTCTGTTCATGGACAAACAGACAGAGCAAGCCTCAGCTTGCCCTGTAGGTCAGTAAATATCAAAAAGAATGCTCTGGAAAGAAGACATCTGCTGTGGCTCTGTCCTCAGTCCCCTCAGACTAGAATACACAGCGTAGTTGGCACCAGAGGAAGCTCCAGGGCCAGACTGGGCCTCTGTGCGCTAGAGGTGCTAATGTCCAAGAGATCACACTTGGCGAGGAGCCAGGCCAGCCTTCAAGAAAACCTGAGAATTCTTTCAGTCTAGCTCTGTAAAAACCAAACTTTCCAAACTGTAAAGACCACTGATCTATATGTGGACAAAGAGAGAAGAAGCAAAACTCATCATCCACTGAACACCCACCACCCAGCAGACTTGTGGAGCAAGGCCAGCTGTGTCCTGTCAGCTCAGCCCCCGTCTTAACATCCCCAGTAGTGACAGTTAAAGGACAGCCAGGCTAGGACAGCCAGGCTAGTGCAGGTGACGGAAGACTCCAGGCTACACTGCCCCTCACAACAGGGTACCCCTTCAAGTCTGTAGAAAGGTGCCCCCAAGAGAGACCGAGGTGAATGGAGAGGCAGGAAGTCCTCAGAGGAAAGCTCCCAGCAAGCTTGAGCCTCCCCTCCAGGTACAGCGGGCCTCAGTCACTCACAAGGGGGTTACGGTCGTCCTGTTGACTCTGACCCTTGAGCTTCTTCTTAAAGATGGAGATTGTAGTGGAAGGCTCGTAGAAAATGGTCCAGATTTCCCCAGAAGCCCCTGGCTGACGACAGTCCCTAAGGTCTCCTGAAGCAGGAACTCGATGAGATCTGTCAAACAAAAACAGTCTTCCATTAGATCTGAAAAAAGAACTCAAATTGCCGCCACACGAGGGACCCGTACCTGGGGCACTGTCTGTAAAGCAAGGCCTTGGGGAGGATATTGGCGGCCTTAAGGAGTAAGGATAAAGGCTGGCGGTGGTGATGCACACTTGCAATCCTAGCACTCGGGAAGGGAGGCAGGCGGACCTCTGAGTTTAAGGCTAGCCTGGTCTGCATAGTGAGTTCCAGGACAACCAGGACTATGTAGTAAAAAAGGATGAAATGTGGCCTGTGGGCAGGAAGGCAGGTTCAGAGCACAGTCCTTTTCACAGTAATGGGGAACTTTCTGTCAAAATAATTTAACGCTGGAAAAGGCTTTTTGGAGAGATTATGAATTTCAAACATTCTTTTCTTCTTCTTTCTCCTCCCTCCCCAATAAAAGAATACTATCTACAGATGCCATTTACCCAGAAGTTACCTATCACAGAGTAAGGGGGAAAGTTCCCCATTGGAACCCTGACTCACAGCCTAGCCTTCTCTTCGCCGACTGACAGGGACGGGGAAGCCATGAGACACTGGACCCTACAGCTGCCGCAGGGGCCCACGACAGGACCGTGCCCCCAGAGATGTCCTCCAATATGAGCTGCAACATTTAAAGTGCCCTGGTGGTCCTCTGAAGAAGCAGGTTCAACCTCGGTGACGCCAGCCAACCGCAGGTGAAAAGTCTTGGAGAGAAGCTTTGCCCGTGCTGACAGCCACACACCTCCCCTTCCCATCACTCACAGCAGCTGCGCTGCAGCGACCCTGTGAGGTGCCTCCAGGACTCGGCAGGGGAAACACCCCTGTGTGTCACGGTGCCCCTATGTCATTTCACAGAGGGGCTTGAGAAGACTCAGACTCGGTGTCCCCGTGCTGTTCAGAGACCCGTGCACCATCAAGGCGAGACACTCTCCCCAACATCCCACTCTTCCTCTCTGCGTGCGTGCGTGCGTGTGTGTGTGTGTGTGTGTGTGTGTGTCTGTCTGTCTGTCTGTTTGTCTGTCTTTCTGAAAGGCGGGCTCAGACAACAACAGTAAGGACATTATTTCCACGGAAAAAGTTCAGAGCGGACATGGGTAAGGTCACTAGTGTGGCCACAGCTGGCTTCCATGTGTAAACATGAGCAGCGGAGGGTAGATGAGGTCAGGAAAGGAGGCTCTGAGCAGAAGTCGGCGCTCAGGAAGGCCTCTCTGTGGGAACTGGAGAAAAGATAACCAGGGGTCTAGAGAGAGTGGGAACTCCACAAGCCCAGGAACAGCACTGTCAAATGCCTGGGCCTTCCTGGGAGACATCGCACATAGGGAACTATTTCTTTAGTTCTTCAATTTTGTTAGAACTAAAGGATAAAGTTTTTGTAAGTTTTCAAGATTTTTTTTTTTTTTTGTCACTTTGTAGTCCAGACTGGCCTGGTATTTATTATGTAGAAAAGGCTGGCCTCAAACTTGCAGCAATATTCCCGTTTCTGCCTCCTGAATACTGAGCTATTGTGCTGAGTAGAAATAGGGTCTTGGTAGGTTGCCTACACTGATTTCAGTCATAACCCTCCTGCTGCAGCTTTCTAAGTAGCATGCCACTGTGCCTGGCTTAAATATGTGTTCAAAATAATTTTTAGGGTGGTGGGTGTTCCGACTGGCCAACTGTGGCTAAGACAGAGCTTGGGCATATACAGGCTAACAGAGCCCCAGACACCAACAAGGAGCCCACTGATCACAGAGGCACAGGGGGAAAACAGGGCCTGGGCATGCGCAAGCCCGAGGGATCCTAGGCATCCAGCAGGGGCGAGTGAACAGCAGCACAGTGCTGTGCTCGGCCTGGATTAAAGAAACTGTTCCCCAGCCAACAGCGATTAATGCAGAGCCCATGGCTGCTCAAAGGCTGACAGCAGTGAGCGCTGAGAGCTCAGCCCTCAGATGGACACCACGGTCACGTCCTCCAAAGTTCAGGGAGCACTGTGGGAAGGAGGAGGAAAGGGCATAACAACCAGGCGACATGAAATGTGCCCCGTGGGCACAACATGGCTTTGGCACTCAGGAATTCACCACAGCTGTGGCTGCCCACATAGGGTCTGCATAAGACTGAATTATTCTAAACATTCAGTCACGGGCTGGGCACGGGCCCCAGCCTCACCCACGGGAGCTAATGGCAGTAAGGGCTGTGGAAGAGAGGAAATGACTGTCTTCGGGGGTGGAGCCGCTGTGGAGTTGCTCATGCTCCGGTGAACAGCTCCACACCTGAGCCCATGTGGGCAGCCTGGCTTAGTGCAGTGGGCCACAGCGTGAAAACAAAACAGAAAGACATGGGAGTGGGATGGGGCTTGGTAGGGGGGTGATGGGAGGGGGCGGGGAGAAGAGAAGAATGGGGGTGACTGTGACTAGAACATATATACATGTATGGAACTGTTGAAGAATAAATTAATAGAAGTTATAAAGTACTACTTGAAGTGTTAAAATTATCTTTGTAAGACTTCCTTGGTTTCTAGAGGCGTTCAGAAAAACGCAAGGGCCGAGTGGTGGTGGCACACACCTTTAATCCCAGCACTCGGGAGGCACAGGCAGGTGGATCTCTGTGAGTTCAAGGCCAGCCTGGTTCTACAGATCTAGCTCCAGGACAGCCAGAGCTACACAGGGAAACCCTGTCCCAAAAAACAAAACAAAAACAACAACAAAGAAGAAAAAAGAAAGAAAAAATGCATAGTATTATCCTAGGAAGCTTGGCTCTTAAACACATACCCCTGTAAGGGAGCAGACAAGCCCCCGAACAGACAACTGCTGTTTCCTATGCTGGGGTGGTTTCAGCATTCCTGAAGCCGAATCTACTGGAAACAGAATCCTCCAACCTCACTGTGATCTGTCCTGTCGCCTGTTTTTTTTTTTTTTTTTTTTTTTTTGAGGAGGAGAAATGCTCTCTGCCCTGTCACAGCTGCCTGGGACACAGCCTCTGAGATGGTGTTCTGAGGTTACACAGACAGATGAACACAGGAAAGACACGCTGATCTCCCCGCCCACACTTCTCTTGTACTCACTTAAGCGTGATGTGCAGAAGAATCTTTGCGACAACTGCTGTGACTGTGAGGATGAGGAGGGTTGCCAGGCCATAAACAGTCCATCCTGCAAGTGCAAGACACAGCTCACCAGACTTGTTTGTGTTCATTCTCCAAAGGAGACTGTAAGCTCAGGGTGCAGAACCGGCTCTGAGGACTCCCTGCAGACCTGGCTCCTGGCAGCAGAAGCGACCAGGAGCTGGGCTAAGTGTAGAACGTTCTTATGATATGACTGTGCCGTGTTCTGAAACTCCCTCTGGCAGAACGTAAACTAGACTTGGAGTCAAAAGGGAGGTGGATCTGTCTGCCACTCGGGCTCATCAGTGAGTTACTTACAGGTCTTTGGGACCCAGTTTTCTCATCTGAGCAATGAGAGCTGAGACCTATGACATCCTACTGGAATCCACAGCCAAACAAAGAGGGCTTGAAAGGCCTCCCTCCCTGACCTATAGTGAGATCTACAGAGGTAAGGGAGCAATGTGAAAACTTCAAGACCAAATTACAGGTGGTGGTTGGCATCAAGGCACCAGCTCATTCAGGGACCGAGTCTCCAGTAGAGAAGCAAGGAAGTACATCCGTAGCCAACCATGTTAGCTTAACCACAGAAGATCATGGCCACGGTGTCTCTCCTGCATGGCTTCTGTTCAGAGCTCTTTGACAGTGATTCTGGTTCCCTCCTCCCACCATAGAAACACGCAAAGCATTGTCCTCCATTCTGTGTGCATTTCACTCTGCGGGAGAGGAGGAATGTTTGGCCCTGTGCTGCCCACAACTCGGAGACTGGACTCGTGTTTCCAGACAAAAGAAGGGCACGGATTTATCTGGTTCAGCGCATGGTCCACTGTTTAGAACAGTGCATGGCCCCATGGAAGGAATTCTATATCTTTTGGATTCATTTCCCCCTCCCTGTTAGTGCACGTTTTATCACTGAGCCAATCTCCAGCTCTGTATATACCTTCTGAGTCAACATATTTGAGGAGCTTACCTTGGGGCTCTAGAAAGATGCCCTCAACACACACACACACACACACACACACACACACACACACACACACACACTCACACTCACGAGCATGTCTCTTAAAAGTTATGCAGATCAGAGGTTGCAGAGCCCAAGCTCCAACCTCCAACCTGTGTGTGAAAGAGAGGCACCCACGAGCGCCTTTGGTTCTGTTGGGTGTTGGGAGAACTACCTTCCACTCTGTGGCCGCTGGCCCCAACCGACGGCACCCAGGAGTGGCTACCTGGGACAGTCTGTGGTGGGTGGCTGGGGCTGGAGGTGATGACGTAGAGGATTTTGGAAGAGTGGGCAGCGTTGACGCTGAGGTTGGCTTGCTCGGTGATCACCTCTGCCAGCGTCTGGTTGATGGCAGGCCTCTCCTGTGGCGGTTCTTCCTTGGTAGCTAGAAGATCAAAAGGATTAGACAGACAACGCTGAGACAGCAGGAAGGAGGGCGCTCCTCTGACTGGGTGAAGCCTTTCCTATTTTTATCCTCTGTGTGTGAGAAAATGCTTTGCACGTGTATGGACGCACACACACGTGGGGTTCGTGTACATGTGGAGACACAAGTCGATGTTGGGAATCATCCTTGAACCCTCCATGTCACTCACTGGGTCTCAGGCAATTGCAGAGCTCCCTAGGGCGAGCCTCGTGCCAACTCCACCTCCGCTCAGAATTCCCGTGCATCCTGGGGATCTGAGCTCTGCTCCTCACGCTTGCGCAGCAAGCCCCTAACCACCTATTTCTGAGACAGGATCTCATACAGGCTGGCTCCCACTGTGTGGTTGAGGGTGACCCGGAATTCTTAATCTTCCAGCCTCTACTACCCAAGAGCTGGTGTTACAGGTGTGTGGCACAGCTCCTGGCGGGTGGGTCCTGATCTGATTCAGGTCGACAGGCAGTGTCCTCGCTGCTCTCACTGGTGGTGAAGCAGGAGCTATCAGGCTCCGGCCTGGCTCTGCAGTCTCCTCAGATGGCCGGTTTTCCCATCTCCCTGCTTTGTGCTTCACAGTACCTTCCTGTTAGGACCACCTCGGCCCCACACTCTAGTCTGTCCCCCTTCCTAGCCTACTACCCAGACTTTTTAAAGTTGTGTAGTCCAAGTTGTGCTTCTCAGAGGCTAGCAAAGGCTCATGTCCAGCATGCATGTGTTCACATTAGAGGGGCAGAGTGTGTTTCTGAGGAAAGATGGTAAATAAGTCTGTGGGACTGCCTGGGATGTTTAGAGGAAGTAGGATGGATGAAATGAGCACTTGAGAGCCTTCCAATTTTGCAAGTCATTTCCCTTTTAACCTATCTACTTAGCTCACCTAACCTGCCTCAAAAGCTGCTAACATGGGGAACTATGCACTGGAAGGGGCAGTGTCTGCACTGGAAGGTGGGGAGTGTCTGCACTGGAAGGTGGGGAGTGTCTGCACTGGAAGGTGGGGAGTGTCTGCACTGGAAGGGGCAGTGTCTGCACTGGAAGGTGGGGAGT